TGGGTCTGCTGGTGGTGACTGTTAGTCACATAGCAGCAGAAATAGCACCAGAAATAGCACAAAATAGCATAGCACAAAAAATAGCACCAGAAATAGCGCCAGGAATAGCACAAAAAATAGCACCAGAAATAGCACAAACAATAGCACCAGAAATAGCACCAGGAATCCCAGTCAATTTTAGCAGCTTAGCATTTACCGGGTGCTGTTTTTTGTGGGTCTGCTGATGGTGATTGTTAGTCACATAGCACCAGCAACAGCACCAGAAATAGCACCAGAAATAGCACAAACAATAGCACAAAAAATAGCACCAGAAATAGCACAAACACCAGAAATAGCACCAGGAATAGCACAAAAAAATGCACCAGAAATAGCACCAGAAATAGCACCAGGAATAGCACCAGGAATAGCAGGAATCTCAGTCAATTTTTTGGCATTTACCGGGTGCTTTTATTTGTGGGTCTGCTGGTGGTGACTGTTAGTGTGGACCGGCCGAACCCAACCCTAAACCCTAAGGCCCTAAGGCCCTAATGCGTTTAGGGTTTAGGGTCAAGGGTTCAGGCATCATGTGCCTGACAATGTGACTGCTGTGATTTTCGAAGAGCAACCCTACCCCATCCGTACTGTGGTCTCTGGGACTGGGCCCTCAAGCCTCAGCTCCTAAACCCTAAACCCTAAACCCTAAACCCTAAACCCTAAACCCTAAACCCCAAACCCTAAACCCCAAACCCTAAACCCTAAACCTGGCTTTGGGTGTATAGGCACCCTTCCGCAAAGTCCACACTCAAGCCCTGGACCCAAAAGCAACAGCCACCAACAAAACGGACATGACGCCCAAAACAGTAGCCCAGCAACCATATTTGTAATGAGGGTACCCTTTTTGGGGGTTGGTTGCTTTATGAGGGAACCTTGAACCAAAAAAAGGGAAAAGGGTACCACCAGGCCGCCAAGTTAAGTACTTCAAGATGTAGGAACAGGGTCTCCCTATATAACACGTTTCCCAAGCGGAGCAGCGCTTGCTCTGAGTAGCATGGAGGGTTTGGGTTTAGGGTTTAGGCTTTAGGGTTTACACCTCAAATCTCAAAATCTAGGGGCTGAGGGCGTAGGGTGGATCTTTCTACCGGACATCGCAAGGCGAGGCTCAGGAGTGGGTTGCCCTAGGGTTACACAGTCCCTGAATCTGGGCCCCAAGCTCGGTTGCTGAGTTCACAAGCCCCCCCAAAAGTGTACACTTTCAGTTTTATAGGGGGTATAGCATCCCAAAAGGTGTAAAAAAAGTGCCCTCACTCAGCTACTTCGTAAATTGGGGGAACTCTTAGAGACTCCTATTCCATACCCTCTGAACCCAAGGGCTCATACGTCAGAACCCTTTGAAGAAGGCAAGGGACCATATTCAGGGGCCATGCAACTACCCCTAAACCCTACACCCTAAAAAACCACAAACTCCGAAGTCGAGCCGTAGCTATTGCACACCCAACTTGGCGGGGTCGGGCACATCTGCTGATTTCGCTTGAGCCAATGAGTCGAGTTTCCCTTAACTCACAACGATAAACCTTACACCACATAACTCTCAAACCCTAAACCAAAAGGCCCCTATAAAGCCCTGGAAACCCTGCAAACCCTAAACTCCTAGACCCTAAACCCTAAACCCTGGCCAAAGGCCATGTAGAAAGCCTTAGTTGTCCAGCAACCTAGGGGAACTAAAGGTTAACCTTTGGGAATTATTTTATAGAGACTATACTACCCAAAAAGGGTTAAAGGCTATCTACTCTACTACTAAGAAGCCATCTCACACGCAGCCGAGGCCCCCAGCCAGAACTGTCCCCACCTCCATGCGTGGTGTAGGGTTTAGGGTTTAGGGTTGAGGGTTGAGGGTTTGGGGTTCAGGGTTTAGGGTTTATGAGGCTTTAGGATTAAGGGTGAAGGGTTGGGATGTTCCCGTCTTACACTAACACTGCTGAATACGGATTATACCCCTAGGGTGGAAGGGTTGAGGAACAGAAAGCGATTCTACGGGGAGCGGGGAGGGGGGGGGGAAGGGGGGGGGGAAGGGGGGGGGGGGTGGGGGGGGGGGAGGGGGGGGGGAGGGGGGGGGGTGGGGGGGGGGGGAGGGGGGGGGGAGGGGGGGGGGAGGGGGGGGGGGGGAGGGGAGGGGGGCGGGAGGGGGGGGGAGGGAGGGGGGGGGGAGGGGGGGGGAGGGGGGGGGGGGGGGGGGGGGGGGGCTGCTCCCCAAATTCAATACAGCCTGCACAAGCTTCTTCGAACTCCGAAACAACGAAATAAAGGAAGCATAAGGAAGCATATAATGTCCCAATCCCAAGATAATTGATCGTATCTTTGAACTTCTGGTCCCTCTTCTCAAAAGCACCAAAAAAATCGCCACCGACCAAGGCGCCCGAAAGCCCCAGAAGCCCTACTGGAATCATACAAGGGTTTGGGGTTTCGGGTTTAGGGTTTGGGGTTTAGGGCCCTAGAGAGCTTAGGGCTTAGGGTACTAAGGGTTTAGGGTTTAGGGCTCTACAGAGTTGAGGGTTTAGGTTTAGGGTTTAGGGTTTAGGGTTTAGGGTTTAGGGTTTAGGGTTTAGGGTTTAGGGTTTAGGGTTTAGGGTTTAGGGTTTAGGGTTTAGGGTTTAGGGTTTAGGGTTTAGGGTTTGGGGCTTTCCGACCTCCTTGGGTCGATTTCGAGCTCTCGGCCATCGCAGCCAGGTCCTTCTCTGCCAGCACCTCCCTGGCGGATTCAAGGGGCAAGGAAAACACCTCTGAACCCTAAACCCTAAACCCTAAACCCCAAACCCCAAACCCCAAACCCCAAACCCCAAACCCTAAACCCTAAACCCTAACCCTAAACCCTAGACCTTAAACCTCACGGGGGTTCAACGGTTGAGTCGAGGCCTCAACCAAACCCTTCCAACCCTCTTGAAAGCCCTCTTTGAGTTAAAGGTTTAAGGGTTTAAGTAGAGTAGGGCTTAGAGTTTAGGGTTTAGGGTTTAGGGTTTAGGGTTTAGGGTATAGGGTTTAGGGTTTAGGGTTTAGGGTTTGGCACTCGGCAAAAGCATGGCCATTCCTATTTCCGGGCCCGCTAACCTAGACCTAAGAGTGACCTAGGAATACCCTAAACCCTAAACCCTAAACCCTAAACACTAAACCCTAAACCCTAAACCCTTTTTGGTTTAAAGGGGCTTCTAAGGGGATGAGGGCCAAGTCTCGGTCCTGGGAAAAACTTGACGGGCCCTGCAGTTTCTCAAAAGTTCGAACCCTCCTCATGAAAGTGTTGCTTAGGGTTTAGGGTTTAGTGTTTAGGGTTTAGGGTTTCGGGTTTAGGGTTACGATAGGGTGTAAAAGGAGGCATAAAGTCAGCTGACCCCAGGGCCTCCAACCCTTTGCCCTAAGCCCCCAAACGCCGAACCCTAAACCCCAAAACATGTCATCATATCTCCGCCCCTGGCAAGGCCTCTGCTGCTCCAGCTCTGCATCCTGCCCCCCCCCCCCCCCCCCCCCATGCAGAGGTTTGCAATGAAAGGTTCCGTCGGATTTCTGTTGTGCCGCCAGTGCTACCAGACCCAGGAGTAACCCAGGAAATAAGAAGGGTGCCATTTTTGTCTTACCGGGGTTACAAGGGAACCCTAAATAGATTAGGAAATAAGAGACGACTCCGGGTCCTACTGTAGGCTATATGGGGGTTTACGACAATAGGGGACCCTCCAAAAGTCGACACCAAATGGTAGGATTCCTTCATCTTAAGGGCCATACTATGGGACCCCCAATTTCGGAAACCACCATATGTGTTCAAAATCGGTACAGTGCACGCACAACACTATGTATGAGAAGGGCGTAGCAGCGTTCCAGGGATCAGGGCTTCACA